CGGCGGGGGGGCCTTTTTTAAAAAGGTGGTTGCCAAGGGAGGAAACCCCAACCCGGAGGGCAAACCCCGGGCGGGAGGATGGGGGGGGGGGGGGGGGGCAAAGGAGACAACACACAGAAAGGAAAGAAAGAAAAGGCATCTGATAGACAGGCACAGCAGAGAGGGGGCCGGGTAGACAAACCAGAGACAAGCACAGATGCCTAGAGACAGGTCTTCATAGAGAGGCTAGGCGCAGCATGAAAAAAAGGGAAGCATGAGTATACCTCGGCTCTTGCTGATGGCTGTTTTCGCTTCCTCGGGGCGCGAGAACCTTCAGCCCGTCCCCAGAATGGGACCGCATATCAAACCTACGCGTGGTGTGTTCAGTCGCGTCAATTCTCGGTATCAGAACCAGGAGTTCCGCGGCAAATGAAGTGCTGTAGGCCGCGGTCACCCTGTGTGACTTCTCGCAGAGCTACATAGGTCGTCGTCAAGACACCGCGCAAAGCACAGCACACACATGTCCACACCCTGTATTTTCCTACCTGCGCCTACCCACCCTGTTGCCAACGTTTTTAAATTCCCGATGCTCTATGGGGGTGATGTTAAGAAGGCATGTAACTCTGTGGCCCCGGACAGGAGTTATCGGTTGACGCTAGAACGAAGAGCATGTAGGTGGCAACTCCGTTCGAGGCTGCCATTCGAATGATGGTTTGGTCCATCGGTAGAGTGCAGAGGCTCACGGAGGCTGTTACGCGCATTGTGTCGTGCAGAGAGTCAAGATTGTGTAGTGCGGCGCTTGCGTATGGCCGAATGGGTTTTTTAAGGGACAGCATGGAGACTCGAAACAGAGTCCAGAGACTCGCTTGTAGAAAGAGAAGGCTTAAGGGTCGGTAGGAACGTGTCCCAGGATTGGATGCGGTGAGAGAGAGAGAGAGAGAGAGAGAGAGAGAGAGAGAGAGTTGGGGGGAGCATGATGGGGGCGAGTCACCCTCCTTTCGTCCTGACTTGTCGGGAAGAGAGGCACACACGCATTTTTTTGCGCTACACCAATCTTTTAGCGAAGACACACTGGAGCTGTTCTGCTGGATTACGATCCGATTTATGCTTACGGTTTACGTAATAGCTTCCTACGGTTGTCGTGCGGACAAGTACAACGTGCCGAAGATTTTTTTATATCACTCTTTGTGTACCAACTGCGAGCTGTACAGCACAGCGTGCTATGTACGCGTACGCATTTCGTATGACTGACATTGAGTACTTGTATTCGACACTCTCTTCCGTGTAGCAGGTGGCGCTACGCGTTGGCCAAGATCAAGAAGGAGCCCCTCCAGATCCTCACCATCCCGGTATCGGCGGCCTGCGTAGGCTGGTTAACGAACAAGGTGGGGTAGGCTGACGAACAATGCTGTTGTCGATAGCGTAGAGTGGTGGATGGGCGTTAGGGAGTGCGGGGTGGGAGGAGCACATTGCACGTGTGGGAAGAGAAAGGTTGTGGTGTGAATGAAACAACCGTCAGAGGCCTGCGCAACGTCCAAACGGGAACGCTGCCCTGGACGCTAATCGCTCTGACACAATTTTCGGTACACCAACGAAAAAAATCGCGAGACGAATAAGCGATATGATACCGGCTCCCCGCTGAATTCGAAGTGTGACTTGTTTCGTGTGCATTTCTGCCCAATCGACGTCGCTGCTTTTCTCAACACCCACAACATCAGCTGGCCGTGGAGATGATTTTCCACCCTCTGGTGTGGAGGGGCATCCCGCTGCGAGTGGTCGAGGGTCAGCCCCTCGGCCTGCTCGGCTGGCAGGGCATCGTGCCCGCTAAGGCTGGTGTGATGGCGGAACGGATGGTTGACATGGTTACCACGCAGCTGGTCGACGTGGATGAGGTGCGTTTGGCTCGACTACCGCTGGCACCGGCCAATCTGTGGAAATCGAGTTAGTCAAAGTGAGCATCTTTGATGCGTTAGAGGTGGTTTTGTTAGGGAAGGACCGGTGCTCGCTACAAACACTACAATATGACGGCGTAATACGACAACCTGAAGAGGCCGCACATGAAATTTGACGGCAGGTCATGTGTGTTTGTTTGTGCGCATGTTTTCATCTACATCGACCGCACTAGCCCGGCTGACCAATGGAAGAGACGACACGTGTATGTACACGCGAGCTAACTTCGCCGTGCCAACCGTCTATCACCACGACCGCCAACCGACGGGGGAACAATGAAATATCTCGGGAAACAGGTGTTCCGCCGCCTCTCGCCGGGGAAGGTGGCGCGTCTCCTCGGCCCGGAGATAGACTCGATCGTGCAGAGCGTGTACGAGGACCTCGCGCCCGGGCCGCTGGCCTGGGTACCCGGGAGCTTCGGGTCGGGGCTCGTTCCCCAGGCGGTGAGAAGATCATGGCATGCACTGCCTATGCAGTGCGGTGGTTGCCAAGCTCGGTAGAGCTTGGGGTCTCTCTCGGCCAAAACTTTTTTTTTCTGTCTTGTCTGTCCATGTCTTTTATTTTTATTCCCATCGCCCCGCCCTTAACCGATCGGGTTTCCTCAAGTGCCGATCTTGGGCTATATGGCGCACGTTTCGCGACCCCCGAAGTATGTTAGGCGGTTGCAAGAGGGAACACGAATGATGTACACCCGACGGTAGTAGGAGTTCGCCCGGCGGTAAATTTGACCTGCCGGAGTGCGGGGACGCGCGCGGCACGCCCGTGGCCAACGGGGCAAGTCGGCGCCGCGAAAACCAGGACGAGATAGCGTGACGAGCGTTTTGAAAGCGGCGTGCAGGGTAAGCCTTAACAACGAGGGGAAGGAAGAGACATCACACCGGTGTGCGTACCAGCTGTGGTCCGGCGATGAGGCACCGCTGCTGTCTACTTTCATGGTGTACGTACTCGTGTTGCTCGTTCTGTCCGTGTTGATGTGGTTGTTCGTCAAGGTGGACGAGCTCAAGGGGCTCCGCCGAAACATGCTCGTGGGGATCACGAAGGACATGCAGAAGCAGGTGACCCACGTGCTGGATCTGAAGAAGATGGTGGTGGGGGAGATGCTCCGGGATCGGTCCCTGATGGTCTCGCTGTTCCAGCGGTGCGGCAAGGCCGAGTTCAAGTTCCTCGTCAACAGGTGCCGCCCGACGACAACGTTTGCTGTTTTCCGTTGTCTTTGCCCACGTCCTACTTGGTCTCAGTGCTGCCGGCGATGTTGCGGCCACCGAGTTAATTGTGTCGCCCCAGGGCAGTTGCGCAAAGAAGCCGACGTCATTTGCCTGGTATACCCCGGCCGATGCGAACGTACTGAAAGAAAGGTGTCAAAGCTGACGTCCTGAATAAATGGGATAATGCACAATACACCGGCAATTTATTTCCATGTACGTTATAAGCCCAAACAAGTCACGACCACCTTCTTCCCCTTCGCCTCCAGGCAACCACCACAAGGCTGCAACACGCCGGTCAAACCGTGCTGCTTGGCAAGCTCACGCAAAAGAAACTCATCGGCATGGGAACAAGAAGCGTGCAGAGGGTTTACGTCTGCACGCTTAGCGTCGACGTTAACCACTCTGCA